CTCTTCGCGACCACCCAAACCCAGCTTCCCGCCCTATGACGTTGGGACACTTCACTTCGTGGCGTGCGGACGACCGTGGCTACTACACTGGCGTGGGGTACACACCCACAGAACTTGGTCACTTATTCGGGGCGCGCGTGTGCCCAGCATCCTGCAATTGTGACATACAATACATGACACAGACAGACAGAGAGAGAGACAGAGAGCAGACAGAGAGAGAGACAGAGAGAGCGGAGTTGGTCACATTTTTGGGGCAAGTTCCTGAGATCGTCGTGTTTTTTGTTGGTCTTGCGCGCGCGAATGTCCACTTTATTTTTTTTTGCAAGGGAGTATTGAAATTTGATTATGTTAGAACAAGAAAAAGTAGCTCGCGCGAGCTCATGTAACATAAATGTTGAAAAACCATTGGTTTTGTGGGAGTCGGACAGCGCGCGCGGGATGAAATTTGGACATTTTTTTTTGAAAAACCATTGGGTTTTTGATGTTTTTATGTTGAAATCGTTACGAAACCTAAGGTTCTGGAAGGATTTCGTCTTGCGCGCGCGAATGTCCACTTTACCTTATTTTTTGCAAGGGATTATTGAAATTTGATTATGTTAGAACAAGAAAAAGTAGCTCGCGCGAGCTCATGTAACATAAATGTTGAAAAACCATTGGTTTTGTGGGATTCGGACAGCGCGCGCGGAAGGACATTTTGACAATTTTTTCTTAAAAAACCATTGGGTTTTTGATGTTTTTATGTTAAAATCGTTACGAAACCTAAGGTTTTGGAAGGATTTCGTCTTGCGCGCACGAATGTCCACTTTACCTTATTTTTTGCAAGGGATTCTTGCAATTTGATCAAGTAAGAACAAGAATTTTCATTTTATATTGTTTTTTGCAAGGGAAAACGAGCGTCAACAAAAAACCGGATCCGGTACCAATCGTTTTGCCTGAGACTTCCTCACGAAAATGATGAAAATGTGGCTGCGGCCTAGGCGCGGCGGGGGGGTCGCGCACCAGGGGTCCCAACAATAATTATTCTTAAGAAGAAATAATGTTCAACAACAACACCAACACCAACAACAACAACAACAACAACAACAACAACATGAGCAACAGCAACAACAACAACGAACACAACAACAACAACAACAACAGCAAAACAACAACACCAAAAACAACAACAACAACAACAACAACAACAACAACAACAACAACAACAACAACAACAATCATTTCACCCGAACGCGTGGTGTTCTCCCCAGTGCCAGGGTTTTCATACGACACCAGGCAATACCCCCACTTCGTGGGGGGGCATTACAAGCTCTACCAAATATCCAAACGACTCTTCGCGACCACCCAAACCCAGCTTCCCGCCCTATGACGTTGGGACACTTCACTTCGTGGCGTGCGGACGACCGTGGCTACTACACTGGCGTGGGGTACACACCCACAGAACCCAATGGTTTTTGGAGATTTCGGCGTGCGCGCGCGAAGAAAAAACGAATGTGTCCCGCATGGTATTATTTGACAGGGATGATGGCCCTGGCAGGTGCGCAACCGTTGTCGCAGAAGTTCGAAAAAGTTGCTCGCAAAAGCCCGTTTGACAGAAATGTTTAAAAAGTGTTGGGTTTCCTACGAATCCGCAAGAGCGCGCGGGATGAGATTTTGACATTTTTTTGTTGAAAAACCATTGGTTTTTTGATGTTTTTATGTTGAAATCGCTCCGAACACTAAGCTTTTGGAAGGATTTCGTCTTGCGCGCGCGAATGTCCACTTTACCTTATTTTTTGCAAGGGATTCTTGAAATTTGATTATATTAGAACAAGAAATGTCATTTTATAGTGTTTTTTGCAAGGGAAAACGGATTACAACAAAACAACCGGATCTTGATCAACTCGAATTACCTGAGGCTTCCTCACGAAAATGATGAAAACGTGGCTGCGGCCTAGGCGCGGCGGGGGGGGCGCGCACCAGGGGGCCCAACAATAATTATTCTTTAGAATTAATAATGTTCAACAACAACAACAACAACAATTACTAGCACGTGGGGACACTCCGTTCTCACCAGTGCCAGGGTTTTCATAGGAGGCGGGCAATACCCCCACTTTGTGGGGGGGCCGGTTCAAGCTCTACCAAATTTCCAAACGACTCTTCGCCACCACCCACACCCAGCTTCCCGCCCTATGACGTTCGGACACTTCACTTCGTGGCATGCGGACGACCGTGGCTACTATTCAGGGCCCCGCGGCCGACGACGACGGCGTGCGCGCGCGAAGAAAAAACGAATGTGTCCCGCATGGTATTATTTGACAGGGATGATGGCCCTGGCAGGTGCGCAACCGTTGTTGCAGAAGTTCGAAAAAGTTGCTCGCAAAAGCCCGTTTGACAGAAATGATTAATTATCCCGGCAAAGCAACCTAACAGCGATGTGTAGAAGCATATCTGAAAGCATTCCCCTTAAGATTCAGATGAAAATCCAGTTGTCGAATTCTGCTGTTCTCGCAGTCGTAGTCGCATTCGCGATGACAGTCGCAGCGGCAACGGCAGTCGCAGTCACAGCCTCAGCCTCAGCCTGCCTCCTCCTCCTCCTCCTCTTTCTCCTGCTCCTCCTCCTCCTCCTCCTCCTCCTCTTCCTCCTGCTCGTCCTCGTTCTCGTCCTCCTCGTCTTGCTCGTCCTCCTCCTCCTGGTGCTCTCTCCTCCTCCTCCTCCTCCTCCTCCTCCTCCTCCTCCTCCTCCTCCTCCTGGTGGTCCTCGTTCTCCTCCTCCTGGTGCTCTCCCCCCCCCTCCTCCTCCTCGTCCTCCTCCTCCTCCTCCTCGTCCTCCTCCTCCCTCCTCCTCCTCCTCCTCCTCCTCCTCCTCCTGGTAGTCCTCCCCCTCCCCTCCTCCTCCTCCTCCTCCTCCTCCTCCTCCTCTCCTGGTCGTCCTCGTTCTCGTCCTCCTCGTCTTGCTCGTCCTCCTCCTCCTGGTGTTCTCTCCTCCTCCTCCTCTCTCTTCCTCCTCCTCCTCCTCCTGGGGTCCTCGTTCTCCTCCTCTGGTACTCTCCCCCCCCCTCCTTCCTCCTCCTCGTCCTCCTCCTCCTCCTCCTCCTCCTCCTCCTCCTCCTGGTACTCCTCCCCCTCCCCTCCTCCTCCTCCTCCTCTTCCTGGTCGTCCTCCTCCTCCTGGTCGTCCTCCTCCTCCTGCTCGTCCTCCTCCTCCTCCTGCTCGTCCTTCTTCTCCTGCTCCTCCTGCTCCTCGTCCTGATCCTGCTCGTCCTCGTCCTCCTGGTCTTGCTCGTCCTCCTCCTCGTCGTGCTCTTGCCCCTGCTGAAAATGTGGCCCAGGAATGGGAGTTCTGGGAAGTCGAAGAGCACGAAGTTGCCTACAGTTGGCTACGGGCATTCAAAATGTGGCCCGGGAATGGAGTTCTGGGAACTCGAAGAGCACGAAGTGGCCTACAGTTGGCTCCGGGCATTCAAAATGTGGCCCGGGAATGGAGTTCTGGGAACTCGAAGAGCACGAAGTGGCCTACAGTTGGCTCCGGGCATTCAAAATGTGGCCCGGGAATGGAGTTCTGGGAACTCGAAGAGCACGAAGTGTGTGACTGTTGCATCCGGCCCTCCAGAATGTGGCCCGGGAATGGAGTTCTGGGAACTCGAAGAGCACGAAGTGTGTGACTGTTGCATCCGGCCCTTCCAGAATGTGGCCCGGGAATGGCGTTCTGGGATCTCGAAGAGCACGAAGTGTGTGACTGTTGCATCCGGTTATTCAGAATGAGCCTGGGAATGGAGTTCTGGGAACTCGAAGAGCACGAAGTGTGTGACTGTTGGTGAAAAACGAGTTCGGCACAGGCCCGCCCGGCAACTCCCAACACCTGCCCGGACCCCCCTGTGGAGTCATCTGCTGCTCTCTTTTGACACTACTAGAAACCTATCAGTCTTCGCTGTTAGGTTAAAAGTGTTGGGTTTCCTACGAATCCGCAAGAGCGCGCGGGATGAAATTTTGACAATTGTTTTTGAAAAACCATTGGTTTTTTTATGTTTTTATGTTAAAATCGCTACGAAAACTAAGGTTTTGGAAGGATTTCGTCTTGCGCGCGCGAATGTCCACTTTACCTTATTTTTTGCAAGGGATTCTTGAAGTTTGGTTATGTTAGAACAAGAAATGTCCACTTTAGCTTATTTTTTGCAAGGGAAAACCGATCGTAACAACACAACCGGATCCGGACCAACCCGTTTTGCCTGAGACTTCCTCACGAAAATGATGAAAATGAGGCTGCGGCCTAGGCGCGGCGGGGGGGTCGTGCACCAGGGGTCCCAACAATAATTATTCTTTAGAAGTAATAATGTTCAACAACAACAACAACAACAACAACAACAACAACAACAACAATAACAACAACAGCAACAACAACGACGACGACGGCGACAACAACAACAACAACAACAACAACAACAACAACAACAACAACAACAACAACAACAACAACATCAACAACAACAACAACCATAGCAGCAGCAACAATAACAGCAACACCAATAACAACACAAACAAAAACAAAAACAAACAAAGGAAAAACGACAACAACAAAAAAAACACGAAATCCGAATTCGTCCACATCGCGTGTAAAAAAACATGCGCCGAGGAGGGGCGAACACTCTCGGCACCGATTCGGGGGAGGGAGGAGTAGTACTCATATTGCGTCGTTGTCGATGTGGAGGTGGAGGAGGAGGAGGAGGAGGAGGTGAATGAGCAGGAGGAGCAAGTATGAGGAGGGGGAGGGGGGGGACGGTAAGGGGACAACAGGGTAGAATCCCTTCGTGTTCGACCCCATGCTCGTCCCCCCCCCTCCACCCAGATTCGAAGATGCTGGGTCGGGCCTGGGGGAGGCCCTGGGGGGTCCCCACTTGTTTGCCCTCTCGCGCCGGTGCTGTCAAATGCCTGGGACCAACTTTGAATCTGGGGGGAGGGGTGGGATGGACGGAGTGAAGAGTTCCACTTGTTTGTCCATCTACGGGAACCTTCATGGTGCCGCTGCGGGGGGGGAGGCAGCTCCCTGCTCCCTTCTGCAGCCGCGTGCCCTCCCCCGCGCCTGGCCCAGCGGGACTCGATCACCTGGAGAGGGAGAGATTTTCAGCCGCGTGTGTGGTATAGTTGTACATATTTACAGATATGTCCATCGGCGGCGAGCGACGGGGGGGAAGTGAGAAGGAGAAGGCCTTCTCAGAAGGCGGCGGGACTCCTCGGAGGCCCGGACAGCTTTCTGCGTGTTCGAGGAAGGTTGAGGAAAGTTCTCAGAAGGCTGGGGGAGAAGGCCCGCCTCTTCTCACTTCCCCCCAACTTCCCCAAAACCAAAGGGGCGCCGAAAACCAAAGTCGCGCCGACAACCAAAGGGGCGCCGAGAAACACAAGAGCACCGAAAACAAAAGGGGCGCCGAAAACCACAGGGGCGCCGAAACCCAGCGTGGCGCCGAAGAAGAACAGGGGGAAAGGCAGCTTCGAAGACCCCCCCCCTTCGGCCGAGGCCCTCCACCTGGAGATGCCAACAAGAGGAGGGGAGAGGGGGGGGGGGGCTCCAAGCCCCCCCCCCCCCTTTAGCCAGGACCCCCCCGCTGCAGAAAATCCAGGCAAAGGGGCGGAGGTGGCCTCGAGGCCCCCGCCCACTCCACCCCCGGGCCCCGGCAACGGGTGGGGGACGCTTCCAAGCCCCCCTCTTTTAGCCAGGCCCCCCCCTTTTTTATATACAGACTTGCATACATACATACGTACATGCATGAACGCATACAGACACACATGCATACATGCATGCATGAGTGCATGCGTGCGTGCATAGATGCGTGCGTACCTGCACAAATGCATACAGGCGTGCGTGAATGAACACATGTACGCACCTCAATACATACACACAGGCGTATAAACATACATAATTGCATGCATACATACAAACATGCATGCGTGCATGCATGCACAGATGTATGCATGTATGCATGCATACATGCATACCTACATGCATACATGCATGCATGCATAATTACATAGAGTTGTACATATACATACATACGTACATACATACATACATGCATACATACATACATACATGCATGCATGCATACATACACACATACATACATACATACATACATACATACATACATACATACATACATACATACATACATACATAAATTAATACATACATACATACATACATACATACATACATACATACATACATATATACATACATACATACATACATACATACATACATACATGCATGCATGCATGCATGCATGCATGCATGCATACATACATACACACGCATACGTTCATACATGCATAAATGCATAGTTACGTGCATACGCGCATATGTACACACATGTGTACGCACATGCATACCTACATACATACATACATACATACATACATACATACATACATGCATACATACATACAGACAGACAGACAGACAGACATACATACATACATACACATGTACACGTATACCATACATCAGCAGTACAAACCCTTACAACAAATTACAATACAGTGCACTGCATTACATTACATCAAACCGCTCATATGCATACAGACATGCATAAACGTGTGCATATATGCATATTTGTATACATGCACGTATACACACACGCATGCACACCTGTATGGCATATATACATGCGCACATACATGCGTGTAGTCATATATGCATGCGTGAATGCACGTACTTCTATAGAGACATGCATGCACGCATGCATGCATATCTCCCTACCGACCTACCTACCTACCTGCCGACCGACCTACTACCTACCTACCCACTTACCTACCTCCCTACCGACCTACCTGATTACATGCGTACATACATGCATACAGACAGACAGACAGACCGCAATCCATCCATCCACACACACATATAAAAGAGAGAGCGTGATCCACCGCCGCTTTACTCTGGAAAACTGCCAACCTTTTCCTCCGGAGCCCGGGGGTCCCCCCCCCCCGAAAATCCCCCCCCCCCCCCCCCCTGCTGAACCCCCCACCCCCTCCCCCCCGGCAAAAACCCCCCCTCCCCTAACCCCTCCCCCCCCCTCCCCCTCGAAAACCGGGGGGGGGTCACTACCGGTTCGAACCCCTCCCCCCCCCCCTCCGTATCCGGAAAACCGGGGGGGGTCACTACCGGTTGGAACCCCCCCCCCCTCGAAAACCGGAGGGGGGTCACTACCGGTTCGACCCCCCCCCACGCACCGCCAGCAAACGACTCCCGGTCCCTACCACCGCTCGCATCACATCCCCCACTGTTGTTCCCAGCACCACTGTCCTCACCACCACTGTCCCCACTGGTTCCACCACCGTCCCTATTGTCCCCACCAGTGCCCCCACCACTGTCGCACTGTCCCCACTGTTCCCACCACTGTTCCCACCACGGTTCCACTCTCCCCACTGTCTCCACGGACCCAACCACTGCCTATCCCCACTGTCCCCACTGTCCCACTGACTCCTCCGCTGTCCCACTGAGCTGTCCCACTGTTCCCACCACTGTCCCCACTGTCCCCACCACTGTCCCCACTGTACCTCTGTCCCATTGTCCCACCGCCGTCCTCGCCACCGCCTTCACCACTGT